ACTCGCGGCGGTGCTCGGGGCAAAGGGATGGGGCGCGTTCGCGTCGCGAGCTCAAGGTTGATCGTGGTCACGGGGCGCTCTGCCCGCATGGCGTGCCACTATGGGCGTTGCGCGTGCTTGTGAATGTGCTGCGGGGAGTTTGCGCGGCGCGCCCCAAGTTTCCCCCCTTGGTGTGATCGGCGAATGTTTAGCTTCCTCGTGCAATATCTTGGGGCTGGTCGCCCGCGCGCGCTGGCCAATTCATTCGCTCGGCGTTTGATGCGCCTTGGGCCGCGGGCGCATGGTTAAGCTCGAGCGTTGTTCGCGTTTCGGCGGTGCACTCTTCGTCATGCGGTAGGCCGCGGGCGTCGCCTTCAGCTTGCCACCTCATGCGCGCGGTCTCAGGTCGTCGATGGCGTCTCTGGGCATCGGCGCACTCCGCTCGGCTCAACGTATTCGCGCCGACGGCGGCGCGGCGTGCCCGCGGCTCAACGCGAGCGTCTTCAGGAGCGCGTCGGCGTCAAGCGCGGCGCCGCGCTCGGTTGCGCTTTTGGGTTCGCGCGTCGCGGCCGCGATCGCGAGCGCGTTGATTGCTCGTTTTGGGCCGTTGGCCCACGCGCGCGCAGTTCTGGCGTCGGCGCCCGTTCCGAGAGCGCTGCGCTCGCCATTGCGGTCGTCGCGCATTTCCCAAATGCGCATGGCTTGGCGTTAGCGGCGGACGGAACCCGCGACTGAGGGCTGGGCTTTTGGCCGCCAGCCCATGGGGCAGCGGGCTACGCCTTCTTAACACAACTCGTGCTGCGCTTTGTTTCTGAAGTTCCGAAGCGCTGGTTTGGTCGGTCTGACGCCAGAGTATTTCGGCGCCCGCCTTGGCCGTCAGCGCGCGTCGGTGCCCCACAGTTCAGGGCTTGCGCGCTGCCGCGCGCGTTTCCAGAGAGAAAAGTGTGACTCGGGGCTCGCGGTTTAGCGTTGCTGGGTCGGCAAGCACTGGCGTTTGGCGCGAGTTTGCGCATTCGCGCGTGCCGTGCGGTTGGCGCCAATGACGGCGGCGCCACACCGCGGCCTTGTTTTCGCGGGGGCGGTTGCGATTGCCAATGTCACGTGCGTTCGGGCTCGGCCTCGTCTGTCTGTGCCATTGGCGTGGTGGCTTGGCCCATAATTCTGTCATCGGCTGCGTTTGCGCGCGTGCGTGTGGGGGGGTGCTGGTGAAGGGCGTCGTGCGCTTGCCCTGGCGCGACATCGGGAATGCCCTGCGTGTGCTTAGGCTTGTGTCCTGGCAGTGTGTAATGCGTATAAGCCATTTGCAGGTCACGCCGTGCGGCCTCGCCGTCCGTCTTGGGGGCGCCCCAAGGTTTGTTGCGCGCGGCAGCTTGTGGTCTTTGTGCGCGCCGTGCGCAGCTCTGCCCTCGTGCGCTGCCTTGGTATGCGAGCCGTTTCGTTGTCATAACCAAAAGCCAGCTTGCTACCATTGCGTGCAGCAGCACCACCATATGCTTTAGCATGCGTGCTCCTGTCTAATATCCTTTGGTGATGCTTCATCCACTGTTAAAAACAGTCATTAGCGTAATTAATTCTGAACGCACGGCATCACACGCCATGTAGTAGGACATGTTCATATTTACGCTAGATTTGGCCAGCTTTTCCAGACAGCAGCCGCTTGGGTCAAGTGCTCGAAAATTCTTCTTTGTTCGTTGAGGGCGCCCGTGCCAGCCCAGCTTCGTAACCAAAGCAGCGCCATGGAGATCCAAGTGACTGGCCACCTTACCTTGGTCGTCGTCGACCCGAACCGCCCGATCAGCTCGGAAGTACGTATTGATACAACGGTACCCTGCACGGTCGTACTCATGGGGCCGAGTTACTCTGATCTTCCAGCGGCGACGCCGCCTGATAGTCCTGATCTGGAGCCTGCCCAAGGAGAGCCCAGTGACAGTGGCACGCGCGTTGCACAAGATGGTCCAATTCGCACCCCCGATCCAGATATCACTCTTTCGGACCCGCGGTTCTCCCATTTCGAATCCGGGTGGAAGGCAGAACGTGCGCTCCTCGACGCTCAGGCTGGCATCGGCTTGCCGCCTGTTCATGAGACGGCTGGGAAAAATGCTCAGCAGCTGTTCCAGCCAGAGCCCCGCGATTGTTTGCCTCGTGCTCCCGATCCTGGGCGCGGATCGGGTTCGGGAGCAGCTTCTTGCTACCCTGGGGAGGGTGGCGTTGCTGCTTCAGGCGGCCCTGAAGAGGGCGCTGACACCGACGAAGCGCACGCAGGCACTCCGCCAGGACCTTCAAGGCCTTTGACGCGGAAGCGAGGGCTTGGGGATGATGATACGTCGCTGGATGTGTTTCTGGTCGAGGATTCGCCTCCGAAGAAGGCATCCAGTCTGTTTGTTTCATGCAATTTGGACGCCGCAGGCGCGAAGACGCCGTCTGCCAAGAGCGCGAGTGGCATGGCCGCTGAGACCCCCTCCAAAGAGGGTTCGGCTTTGCAGTCTCCAGCCGAGCCTGCGACCATGCCGCCCAAGACGCGCCGCTGGTCTTTAAGGCCAGCTCCGCAGGAGTTTGCCTGCGAGCTTGGAGCGCACGTCGGCAAGCGCGTCGCTGCTGACGATGACGCCCCAGACAAAACTGTTGGCAACGCTGCATCCTCTGCCGCTTCGGAGGCTTGTATTTTTTCGGTGCTCGGCCATCAGGGCACCTCCGCAAATTTGTTGCTTCGTGATATCGGAAACGACCAGTGAACGATGATATAGGGAGGGGGAGAGTTACGATGACGACGACGATGATGATGTCAGAAATTGTGATGTCAGCGCTCAGCACTGGTCCTTTCGCGCACGCTGGCAGCGCTCAGCACTGGTCCTTTCGTGCGCGCTGCCTGCGCTGAGTACTGATCCTCTGGCACGCGCCGACAGCGCATTGAGGAACCTTTCGTTTAAAGGCCGCTGGCAGCGGACGGATCGCTCTCGCAGTCGAAGGGTTGCGAGCGTCTCATTTCGCTCGACGGCAGATTTCGCGTGGGCAGTTGGAATGCTCCGTGCGGTGCTCGCTTGATTCGTTGCGCCGCATAATGGCCCGAAGTTCTTTGAGATCAGCCCCCGACCTCCCTCTTCTCACGTGTCGATGTCTTCACCGCGGCGTTCGTGTCTCTCGCTCCCCTCCTCCCCGCCACCCATCTCCAATCCCATTCTCTTCGCTCCCTTTCTCCTTGACCAAAGCCCCCTGGCGTCTTCGTGCCTCACTGCGCCGTCGCACCATCCGCTTTACATGTTCTCATGCGTCGAAGGTGCGTCCGTTTGCTCGTCAACCTCCTCCGTCTCGTCAGGACCAAACTTAGGTGCCACTCTCAGTCGTTCCACTCTCGCTCTGTCTCTGTGTTTTTTTGTTTCTCTCTCTCTCTCTCTCTCTCTCTCTCTCTCTCTCTCTCTCTCTCTCTCTCTCTCTCTCACACTGGTTACCCGCATCAGCTTGGAAGTTATGTGCATGCCCATTGTTGCGCGCATCCTCACATGCGCGTTCTGTCTGCATCGGCTGCCATCGTGCACCGCCGTCCATTGCCCTCCTCGCCCGCCGCCGCCTCCTCCTCCTCCTCCTCTCCCCCGTCCTCCTCCTCATCCTCGTCCTTGCCCTCCTCCTCCTTCTCGCCATCCTCCTTCCCCCTCTCCTCCTCCTCCTCCTCCTCCCCTCCGTGCTCCTTCTCCTGAGTTTCCTCCCTCTCATCCTCCCCCTTCTCGCCCTCCTCCTCCTCCTCCACCCCCGCCTCGTCTTCCCCTCCCCCCTCCTCCCCTTCCTCCTCCTCATCCTCCTGCATCCCGTGGTTCTTGCACCTGTGCGTTCCGAGTATCTGCCCAATCCATCCCGAGCGCGATGCGCAATCACGTTGCTTCGGCGATGCACCGCCGAACGCACGGGGCGACGTAAGGATTCGCAGCATTGCTCGAAGCTCGGTTGAAACAACCTTCGGGGGGTGGGGTCATGGATTTTGCTGACCGCCGCGTGGGTTCCTAGGTGGGCTTTCTCTGGGCCCTCATGGGCCCTTGTGGTGGCGGAGCGGCCTGGGGCTGGTTCGGGCGTTCATGAAGAGCGGTGCTTATTGTTGGATGCCTTCGGCTACGTGCGAGCAGAGCTGCGCCGCCCTCTCAAATCTGGCAAAGCACAAACCGTGGGCAATACGAGAGGCGTTCGTATGAAGGTCTGGGTGGCGTCTGGGGTCATCGCATGCTCGCTGGCCTAGCCTAGGGTGCCTCCTAAGCTAGCTGCACGGGTGCCTTCCCTGAACAACAATGGCCAAATTGATCCAAACCAGCAGCCGTTGTTTCGCCTGTCATGGGGTTGGTTTTTGTTTTCGGCTGCGCCCCAAGGGGTGCCAGTGTCCGTTTAGAGTAGCTTTTGCGGGGCAGTCGTCTGCGAACGCTGGTTGATAAATGAAATAATCGTAGGTTCTATGGCGTGGCTGACAAGGTCATGATTAGGATGTCGGGTGTTATCTTGGCCTGCGTATTCCAACATTCTCCATATCCGTCCCTCACCCCTCGCCCCAGCGACGCCTCGCGGCACCCCGCGTCTGCCCCCCCCCCATAAGGCGGCCGTAAAATAATGCGCCGACCCTTCCCCCCCTTCACAGCGTGAGAGTCTGTAGGTTGGCCCTCCGAAGGTTCCACATGGCCCACCGAGTGTTCGTTAGCATTCTGGCACACCCTCACGCGGTTCGATGCCCCATATATGATGCCCGATGTGTTACGTGTTTTTTGATTGATGGCATGCGCGGTCCGTGGTTCAGCCTTCGGCCACGTGCCGATGTATCGCGCGACGGGACCTGGGGCCCTTGTCTGGCGGCTGCTTGTGTAGCCTAGGAGCCGTTGGACAGAAGACCACCGCCCATCGACCTGTCGGGCGACGCCTCAGGGCGCCCAACGCCACATCCACCGTACACATAGCCCACGTGGCTCGAGAAGTTTTGGCTCCACTGGCGGGTGTCAGCGGAGGACAGCATCGCACGTGCAGTTCTTTGTTTTTTTCTTGGCTGCCCCAGCATGGGCAAGCGCGCAGCCAAGGCTCCTGATGGCGGGCAGAGGAAGGCCGCCAGAGGCGGCGGCAGGCGGGGGAGTGGCGCCGCGGGCGCGAGGGAGAGCGATGGAGGCATCGCGGCGCCCGCGGGGCGTCTCAGTGCGGCAGCGCTCCAGGCAGACGCGTTCGAGCGCGGCACGTGCGGCACCGACGACGTCGGCCAGCAGATGAAGGACGCTGCTGTGCCGTCGTGTACCCAGTGCTTCGAGAGGTACTCGAAGGGCTTCACGCACTTCGGCTCCTTGGAGGTCGTCCAGCAAGGCGTGCAGGACGAGGACTCGCACATCCACGACTGCTGGGAGGAGGCCTTGCGGACTGAGGCGGGCGAGCAAGGGCAGTTCTTCCCTACGGCCGTCGACGAAGGGTCGCAATACATTGTCTCGGTCGTGAAGCCGATGATCGGCTTGAACCGCGCGCAGCTGATCTCAGACGTGCTCGAGGGTGAAGAGCCCGAGAAGTTGGGCATCAAGCTGCAGGACCTGCCCGACCAGGATGGGAACACCTACAAGGGCGTGATGGTTCCGAACCCGAACCGCCCGTACCTGGAGTACGACGTGATGCACCAGCACTTCGCAACGATGACCACGCACAAGATGCAGCCGAGCCAGCAGATGTACTCTGCCCAGTCTTTTGGCACGTTCTCGTTCGTGAAGAAGGCTCGGCGCGATGGATCGTTGTGCCATCTGTGCTATGATGTCGGGCTGCGCACTTCGACCTCCGCATTCGTCGTTCCCCCCAGCCCCTGTGTTCCCACCTTGTCAGGATGGTTTGCTATCTGAACCGATTGATGAAAGTACAGAGAAGATGTCTAAGTCGAACTATCTTGCCTGATGCGGGCGCTTTGGTTCGCATCCGCGTTATTGCTTTTGGCTCTGAGTCCCCCTAGTCGTCCCATCATGCTAGACCTCTGTCATCCATCGATCCGTTCAGAGCGAGCGGTAGTTCAATCGGAGTGCGCTGTCCGACATTTGCGCGGGGGTGGCGCAGTGGATCAGTCCCAGGGTCTGGCGCAGGACAGCAAGCTGAAACTCATCTGCGTGAAGGCGCGCACGGAGAACCACACTCTGGACTCCCTGGCCTCGAAGGCGGACGCCTACAAGAGGAGCAAGGCCGACGCCGAGAGGGCTCGTCTGGCCGCCGAGGAGGCGGATGGCAGCCCAGGCGGTAGCCCAGGCGAGAGCCCTCTGCCTGCGGCGGGTCTTCCTGGAGCTGGTGCATCTGCTTCGGCTGGTCCTTTGCTGAACCCGTCTGCGATGGCGTGCTCGCGGACAGTATTCACTGGCGATGGGCGTGCGCCGAAGACCCCAGGAGCAAAGCCTCGCGCCACCAAGTCTGCCATGTCAGATACCAAGCAGTCAGAGGTGGAGGAGCTCGTCGAGCGTCGCATTGCTGCCTTGGATGTGGACAGGTGCTGGTCAGGAACTGCCATGGGTCGCGAGCTTCGCTGGGCCAGGGAATCGCATGATAACATCATGGACTCCACTCCCTCTCCTGCTGACTCGGAGTTGGCCGACAAGCTCAAGGCCCACCTGGACGTGTGCGATGCCATCTGCAATCTCGTCGAGAAGCCATTCGCGTCCGTGCCGAAAGCCAAACTCGACGGCTGGCTCAAGGATGTTGAGAATGGCGCCGAGGACATGCCGAGCAAGTTTAAGCAGGATGTGCTGAAGTTAAAGGTCCTACGGGCGGCACTTCGGGGTTGGGCTATCGGCAGGTCTTGGTTGGGCGCGCAGGTCGGTGTACATCACCGCCCCGCGGGCCCAACCTAGTTGTCGAGTCTGCCGTCGCCCGTTCTCTCGGCCTCGCCCTTTAGGTCGCTGAAACGATCAAGACGCCAGACTTGTCTGTGAACGTCCTCTTCTACCACATTGCGCCATGGGATACGGACGAACCAAATGGTGATCGCTGCCCGTCATTCAAGCCGACGTGCCCCAGGGCGTGCTCTGCTGACGGCAGTTGCTCGGACAAGATTTCCAATTGCGACGGCTTCTTCACGGAGGCGCTCAACTACTTCATCAAGTTGGGCAAAGAAGGTCAACCTAAGCTGGTCCAGTTCTGCAACGGCTGCCTTGACTGGCTCGACGAGAAGTGCCCTGAGGATGAGCGCTATGACGAGCTCGTCTCTACGATGACGGTGACCTTGAAGGCAGCGCTTTGCATCGCCGACGCCACGAAGCTGGACTACAAGGACGCGCTGATGGCCATGACGGCTTCCAGCAGAACGACAGGGGTCGGGACTGGGTGCTTGCGCCACTTGAACTTGTCGGTGAAGCGCTCGCAGCACTACACGGCGCTTAAGGCAAGTCGACGTCAATCCGCAGAGGGGGGGTGGTTGTCCGTGCATTTCGGGTTTGCGGTCCAGGGGTTTGGTATCAAAGTTGTCCATGGGGGCTTTGTGTCAGCGACGGTTGGGCCAATAAAAACCAAGTGGGGCTGCAACCGGGCGGCAAATAGTGCAGTTGGTGTCGGGGTGTGCGTGCCGAGCAGGCCTTGAGCTGGATCGGAGACATTTGATGGTGCACTCGGGGGGGGTCTTGGGCGTCGTTCGCGTCACTAGGGTACGCCACGCTCTCTCGAGCCTGAGTGGCTTCACTCGTGAAACAAGGTTCCTGGTTGTCGTGAACCTTGCACCTTCGCTCATCCCACCTTCTGCCCTGCACCGTTTGCGAAGTCCTTTCAGTAGCTTCAGAATGCACGGGCCACCACCCACCATGGTTGTTTGACACTGGCTTTGCACAGGACGAGTTCGAACAGTACTACTTGAAGACGAGGGAGATGTTCCCCTCGATGTCCGACGCAATGCAGAAGCTAGACGATTCGAACTCGTCCATGGCTCAGTTGGTGGAGTCTGGCGTCATTCGGAACTCGCTGGAGATGCTGCCGGACATCGTGATGTACTGTCGGCCTGGGTCGTTCGAGCATTTCCAGGCAAAGGTTGCGGCGAAGGTCGACGAGTACGTGCACACCCAGACGTTTGGCGACGTCATCGGCGGCGCGGCTGGCGCTGCGCTGACTGCGAAGCTGGCCGAGGCGAAGACGCTGGTCACCATGGCGAAGACCAGTGTTCCAGAGAAGCTCTCTACGTGGGCGAGTGCGCTGAGTGCGATCGAAAAGAAGGAGTCAGAGATCAACCAGTTCAACGCCAGCAAAGGCCTCGCCGACCTCGCGTCGACCTTGACGCCAGCGGCGCTGCTGAACGACGACGACCGCGACGCAGTGGTCCCCGTGTTGCAATCTGTGCTGGCCGCGGGTGGCAAGGGCGTGGAGGCCCACAAAGCGAGCGCTACCGCCATCTTCGACATCACGTACGAGTGCGTTTCCCAGAACTGCCGTGATCCGATCCAGTCGCATCCGTACATGGCTATCTTCATGAAGCTCGGTGAATCAGATTGGCTTGATGATGTCAAGAAGGAGAAACTCTCGAAGACCATGGACGCGTTGAAGGCCTGGGCCCCGCTGGTTGATTACCACAGGGAGTGGATGGCGCTGGGCGCGGATAGCGCATCGCGGCTGGCGCAGCCTGGTGCGGGCCGCGTCGTGCAGGGCGTTCGCTCTACTTGCATTGCGATCGATGCTGGTGGCGTTGCTACCGAGATTGTGGGACTTGGCGGAGATCTCCAGGCGGCAGTTACCGAGATGGGATCAGCTGCCGCGGCGTGCAAAGAGATGCAGACGGCGGAGCTCGCGGCGGCGGTGAATGACCTCGAACCATCTTCCACTGGTGGCGACAGCGTCGACAACCCATGGGACATCAATGTGGCGCTTGGTGGTGGCATCCAAGTGGTCCTGCAGCGCGTGGAGGACACGATCTTGCAGATCGACGGTTCGTCTTTCCAGAGTTTGATCGACAAGGTCACGCAGTCCCTGGAGGCCAACAAGGTCTGGGCCGATACCTTCGGCTACGAGCAGGACGGCACCCTGACGACGAGAGCGGCTAATGTGGTGAAAGCTGCACTGGCCGTGAAGTACACTGCGCTGCTGGTGCGCAGCTGGAAATCTTTCGGATCGTCGGCGCCGAAGCTCCGCAGGGCCGTGATGACGTACAAGAGGGAGATCGTCGAGCACGGTTGCGAGTCCGTCATGCGGGCCGACATCATTGACTGGACGAGCAAGCTTACCTCGCTGAAGGGGTCCGTCTAAATTCTTGACGCTTCGCGTATCACAGTCGGCCCTTCCACTAAATATGCCAATGCGATTTGGTTTGGTCGGTGGCGTCAGGGGGCATATGAGATCACAAGGTTGCGGAAGCCACTATGTCCCAGGAAGAGGTGGTGAAGGAGAAAGTTCGTAATGAGACCAGGGGGAGGAAGGGGAGGGCGGTTGGGAGGATGAGGAGGCGATGTGGTGACACTAGTGGCATCTGCAGCGTCTTATGTGTTCTGGTAAGCCTATCGGGCGCCCTTGGGCATATCTGTGGTGTGTGTTGGGTATCTTGAAGGCTGCCTGGCGTTTACTTTCGGCTGCTGTGCGGAGCCATCTTGGGCTACATGTGCGGATGTCGGTCACGGGATGGATGGCAATCAATTCGTTCTGCCCCTTAGGGCCCCGACACCCGCGTCTTGGTCGCGTCTTGGGTCGCTCTGGGGGCGGCGTTGGGTTACCTCAGAGCATCCAAGTGGTTCTCTTGGGCGTCGTGCGTGGCCATCTGGGGCCAGCGTCGAACTACCTTGAGGCCTCGGGGGCCATCACACGCGAAGCTGCGACACAGCACATTCGCACGTGTTGATTCGATCGCATTTGACGGCCGTTGGTTTCTAGGTGGAGCTACCAGAGGGAGACCACCGCCACTTGGAGACATCGAGAGGCGGTGGTGGGCCTGCTGGAAGAATATTCGAAGCGTTTTGGCGCAGACTTTGGCTTCTGGGCCCATCCTTGGAATCATCGTAGAGGCTCTCCGAAACCTCAGCGGGGTCTCATTGGGCGCTCAATCTTTCGTGCCCCGCCCATCCACCCCTACCAGAAGCCCAGGAGATGATGACATTGAGGGGGGGCACTTCCCCCCCCCCCCCAGGGGGGGGAGACGAGTATGGCAAAGCGAGGGCGATGCACGACATGTGCGCCCAGGCGCCTGCTGGACTTGCAGGCGACGTGGCGCAGGAGCGCCGACGGCATCAGCGCCTGTGCTGGGATCAGCGCGTGCGAGAAGGGGGCCTCGCTGAGAAATGAAAAACATTGTCTCTGGGTCGCTCAGCTTTTTGTCCATGCGGCCTGTCCTCGCAATTCTGCAGTCGCGTCTGTTGACGTGGCCGTCATCACCTTGTCTCGTGTATGATTTTGCCATCCCGCTTGCCCCACCCTCCCCCATCCAATTCCCAAGCATTCCCAATCTCCTTCCCCCGAGCTGGATGGGCTTGATGAGAGCGTCGGCGTTGCTCCTTTAAGGGGCTGGTGGCGCCTGGTTCGTCCCTCTGCTTTGCCGTCGGAATAATCCAGCTGCCTGCGGCAACCCGCCGCCGTGCGTGGGTTGTGAGTCAACCGCCTTGCATATGTCGCCTGTGATCGCTTGGCGTGCTTCTCTGATGGTGATTGGGAGCCGCACCGACGCCTCTTTGGGACGCTGCCGTGTGTCATGTTAGGCATCTCGGGGGCACCTCTGGAATCCTCGGAGCAATCTTTGGACGCTGAGATTCGCACAATCATTTCGTGTCCGCATGGCGGTGGGGGGGTCCATGGGTGTTGTCTTAGACAGTTCATGTGCGATCCCAGTGTCCTCTTAGAGGGGCTTCTGGGTGCGTCTTGGGCCGTCTTGGGGTGGTCTTGCGGGCTTCTCGTGCCGCCATGAAGTTGCCATGGGCATAATGCAACCATGTCAACATCATGGTTCGCGCTGATTTGGATATCGTCATGCCCCCTTGGGGTGAGCTATCGGGAGCCTCGCTGGGCTTCGCGAGTGCCTTTTGACGCGTTGTTTACGTGTTTGGCGAGGGCGCTCTGATGCTGTAGCAACGGTGGTGCTTCTGGGGTCATTTGGGGTAGTTCGTGGGTTGCCGTGTAGGTGTGTTTGTCCGTAGTAGGCCTCGTCTGAATTGCGTTGTGGCTTTGCGGTCGTCTTATACGTTGTCGTGGGGCACCCGCTGGGACCTCTTGAGCAGACCCTGAGCGTCTAAAGCTATAACAATCGCAACGTCTAGAACCCAATCGCACACGAATGAGATGTAGCGTAGGTTAGGTCAGTTCTGGGGGATCCCGTGGTAGCTTTTTGACGGCTGGGCTGCCTCTCAACGCTCTCAATTGCCGTCTCGGCGTTGGAAGCTCGAACCCGTTGTTCGTTATCAACCACTTGGGCTCCTCATAGGGCCATCTTGGGGCATTATTGGGTCGCTTTGGGCGCTCACATGGCCTCTTGGGGCCTTCTCGGGGGCCATCGGCTGCCTTGAGTGCATCAGGGGCCGCCTTGGAGTGGTCTGGGTTTCGCAGGCGCAACCGCTGGGCGCTCCAACGACGGGTTGTGTTCGGAAAGCGCTGGCGTTGCGTAACATGGTAGGAGTCGAGGTATCGGTGGCACGGCCACAACTCGAAATACGCTAAATCTAGAAGGCGGCCTAGGGCGACTGCGCGCTGCGATAGGGTAAACACATTGGCAAGTGAAACCACGTCGGCCGCCTAGTGTAGACGAGCTGACCGCCAAACGCGCCCCTGCGTGCGACTGCGCGGCGGTAGACCTGACGCTTTGCGCAGCCCCGCCAGCACCTCCAGATATATGTTTGCACGGTCTCAGGCCAACGGTGAACGCACGCAGCAGCGCGCGCCTATCGGTCGCGTTGTTGCACATGTTTTCGGCGAGGGCGGGGTGGAGGGGAGGGGGTCGGTGGGGCCCTCGAAACCTTAGTGAAAGTTTGTTGGGGTTTGTCGGCGGTGCATGGCATTATGTTTGTTTTTGTTGTTGTTGTTGTTGGGGGACGCGTTGTGGCATCACCGTGGCATTCCTTGGGGGCAGCGGTCATCCATGGGGGGTCCTCCAATCGGGCTGCACCCGCAGTGCCAGTTAAATTTGCATCGCCTCTGTGCCAGGTGCTGTTCTTTAGGCGATCAGGAGCATCTTGGGGTCAACGGGGTTTCTTGCGGTGGTCCCCAGGGGGCTCAATTGCGCGTCCTAGCAGCAATCTGTAGCACAACTCGATCGGTTACTGGAAACTGCATCGCAGTAGGCGTGTGCATGGATGACGCGGGGGCTAGATAGTTATCGCGCTTGTGCCGCAGATGCGCAGTGGTGCGTGCCTACGCTGCGCCCAAACACCAGTGACATAGGAACGTTTCTCATCTGAGTTTTTGGCAGCCGCCCTAATGGTTCTGCCGTTCGACCCCCCCCCCCCGAATGGCGCGCCCGCCCGCCTAACGCGCCCGACGCGCCCGTCTGGTTCGGCCCACTCAGCTGATTGTAATCCCGCCCGTCCGCTCTGACGGCCAGCCCGTCCGATCCGCTCGGGGGGGGGTGCCTGCTTGCCAGACCACGACGGTGCGATCGTCAAACAATGCGCCGCCAAATGCCCAACGACCTTTTGCGCAGAATTGCCACTCAGCGGCGTCGAGGGGCGATTTTTCCCACTCGTCAATTGTGGTTCGCCGTTGTTGGCGACTACCTGTGGGAAAAGCGGGGGGGTACTTTGGAACCTACTTTTTTTCGCGTTGCTACTTTGCTGTTTTTTTCGTAGGTACTTTGGAAGGTACTCTACAACCTATCCATGTAGCTACTTTGGCTGATTTCGCCTCTCTCGTGTCTCTAGCAGGAGTTGCCTTTCACAAGTACAAGAGTACAAGCACCTTGGCTCTTTCGTGTGCGTCATGGGTAACGGGGACACGCTTGCTAGTAACGCACATCGCGTTTCTTCCGCACTGGCAGCGTACGTCCCTTTGGCGTACAAGTTGGTCGGTTCCGACCTTTTGAGCGTCCAGCACCGTTTGGCCTTTCTTCGATCTCTAGTGCTGAATCAGCTTTTGTTCGCCGTGCACACCCTGGTCCCGGCGGGGCGCGACCTGAAGGACATGAACGATTGCTATATGCTATATGCGCGGTCTGCGGCGCACAGCCGGCGTCCCCCGTTTCAGTCCAGAGAACAGCACCACCGACCGGCGAGTCAGGGACATGATGCAACAGCCCAGCCTCGACTGCCTCATCGTGCGCGCCCGGCTTGCTTTCGCTGCGCGGGTGTGCCGCGATCGTCTGGCTGGGCTTCGGGCTCTCCTTCATTTTCGCGTCGGTGGTGATTCCGGCCGCCTGCCATGGGTCACCCAGCTGGCCAATGATGAAAATGTGCTCTTGAACGTCCTTGCGATTAGCCAGTGGCCCTCCCCTATTCGCGGCCCCGCAGTTCTGGCACGACAAAATGACGCAGCCCAGCGAGTGGAGCAGAATGCTGGACACACTTTGCTTCACCAAATCTGTCTGCGATCGCCAGAAGGATGCATCTAGTTGTGGCGCCGTGCGCCCGGTTGTCTGTCCAGACTGTGATTGCACTTTTGTCTTCGCGCGCTCTTGAATCTCATGCGAAGGTCAAGCACCTCAAGCGGGATATAATCCGCGAATTCGTCCCCTCCGCCGACTGTCCCTGCTGCCAGGCCGACTTTGTACAGCGCGTCCGCTGTCTTGCACACCTGTCAAACCGGCGCCACCCTCGATGCAGGGATTGGGTCATCCGGCACGGCCGGCGGCTCCCGCCAGCCACGGTGGCGAACCTCGACCAAGCCGACAGAGAGCTTCGCCGAACAGCTCAACGCAGCGGCCGATCCCACGTCATAGCCAGAGGCGCTGCCCGCAACCGCTTTGGCAAAATTGTTGGCCGAGCTCCTGCCTAGCCGGAGCTCCCATCCGTGTGTACAGCATGTGTCGTGCGACTACCAGGCCTTGAGGAATAACATCTTTATACATATATACAACCATACATGCCTACATACCTACATACATACATGCAGACAGACAGACATGCATACATACATTACCTACATACCTACCTACCGACCTACCTACCTACCTACCTACATACATACATACATACATACATATACATACATACATACATACATACATATACATACATACATACATACGTACGTACGTACATACATGCATGTATATATACATACATACATACGTACGTACATACATACATACATACATACATACATACATACT